CAAATTTTCAACTGGAATATACAGCACTATACTGCACTATACTGCAATAGATCCAGGTTCAATATTTTGGTGCTTTGATATGCTTTGATGTGCTTTGTGTCTACCACTTTGCTCGAAGTTTCTTTCATTCAGGCCCTCATGGCCCTCTGGACCCCGGGCTCATTGCGGCAGTGCCTCTGCAGTGTCCAAGCTGAAAGGCCATGTTGCTTGAACCGCAGGTGCCTGAACTTCAAAGAAACGTGGGACATCGTGGGACAATGCGACAGGATGCAAGACGTGTTCAACGTAGGACGACATGGTAGAGTTTCCGTGGATTTCCATTGGCAAAATACCCTCCAAATAGGGCACGCCTGATATGGAGCCTATGCGGCAAATAGAAAAAATACGGCGACCTTTGGCGCCTTTGGGGTCACTGCATGTCACTGCAACTTGGCTCTGAGACTCACGCCCCCTTGGCACATAAATCTCTGCATCCGCAAGAGTTCGGCCAGTCCAAAGTGACGAGTCCATTGGTCCCTCAGTGAAGCTAAGCTAATCTCAACGGTGCGGGAAAGCATTAAAGCATTGAATGGCAGTGAAATTGGATTAGTGGCACTTAACAGTGGCGTAGTATGCGTAGTATAGTGGCGTACTGTTCGTTTGGAGCAGTCCAAGAAAAGAACGTTGGAGCGTGCCTTGTCTTTGGACTGGACTAGAGATCCAAATTTTGTGGACAACTGTCCAATCCAGCAGCAGTTCCTTGAGACTGTCACGTATTGCACTTTCTCTATGATGATGGCAGCTGCAGCGTTCACCCACCTGGAAAGTAAAACCAATGCTGTGCTCCCCACATGCCTAGTGGCAAGAACCCCCCAGGTTCACACCTAAGGACAAGCAGCACTATCCGCACTATCCGTACTCATGGCAAGATAAACATAATCCCTTGAGTTCCTCAAACTGAAGGCCATGAAACCAGGAAAGCGCCCAACTCCCAGACACACAGCTTTGACATGCTTCGACAATGCTATTCCCACAACTAATAGAGCCTCATGGCCGGCACTTGCATTGAGCGCGCTGAAGTGTGAATCCAAACGGGATCAGCACTGGCATCTTCAACCTGGTCCGAAAACCAATATATATATATATATATATTATATTAATATATGTGAGCATACCAGTATGGCGTAGCATATGCCCGTGACAGTGCATCTGTACATATCATATCATTGGTTAGGATAGTCAACGATCTCAGAGGCAACTTGAAAACAACTTAGCATGGCATGACACCACGTGCTACAGCACTGCCAAGTTTCAGACCACAAGGCTGCAAGAGTGCATTAACCTCAGCATTTTTGTGACCCCATCTTGTTTGTAACGCACTAAATCGGCAGCTCCTGGCACCCAGACAGCTATTCAAGCCTCACCTCAGTGGGCAAGCCTTTGCCCTCCCAAACTTTGCCAAGGAGCTTCTGGCCAGCCGCGCGAGAGATACCAACATCCAGAGGCGATTCCTGGATTTCAGAGCAGATTGGGTAGCCAAAGAACAAAGAACATGAAACGGACTTGAATGTCAAAGTTGTTCATGGCGACTGTCTGATGCACAGCGCACGGCTTCTCCAGATGAGGTAGGCAGGTCTGCTACTTCAATCTCAAAAATAGGCAACAACATATTAATATATATAATTATATATATATATATACACATATATAAACAGGCTGTGCTGATGATATATTTGCCGCCCTATGTCAACCTTGGTCCCAGCTGGATATCCTGCTTGATTGTCCTTGATTCGCTCATTCAGTGTTGGGTGATCTCCACTATGTCCTGCCTCTGCCACATCATCTCGGGCTCGCAATGCATAAAGAAATGCGCGCTCCTGACGGTCAAGCATATAGGGCTGAGTTTGCTTGTTTGTTTCCGTGGGAGACCGGCTGTCATCATTTCTGCTTTGCTGCTTTGCAGCATCTCTCGCTCTCTCTCCCTCTCTCTCCCTCGCTCTCTCTCTCTCTCTCTCCCTCCATGGGTGTGCTGCGCTGCCCTGCCCGCCCAAAAACAAAGTGGAGCGGCACCCCCGCTTGACAGGAGTTCAAACAATAGGTGCCCTTTTATCATAGCTCACATTTCACAAATCTTTCGTGGAAAAAAGTCCAGGAATAAAATTACAAGCGTATCGGCCCATACGAAAATATGACACAACAACAAAACTTTCGCTTAGGCCCTCGACGGAATCTGCACAAAACACAGCTTTGGCATACTGTCAGGCCTTCCAGGTGAGATTCCTGGTAGTATTCACCTCGGATACAAATGCTGGCCTGGGTGGCCTTGCATGGTCGGAATTCCTACTCCGCTCAGATCGTAACGTGGTATGGCTCCAAACCACCAGCACCTAGGTGGCCACATGAATTTCGAAGGAAATCGGCCATTGATCAGCACTTTTTGTTATGAAGTAACTTTCAGCCATTTATTTGTACCCGTTCTACCCCACTCCATGAGCTTGGGTGCCCTTGCTTCTCTTGCCATGCACCACCTCAGACATTGTGCAAAGCCATTTGTTGGATTTGCTGCGAAAACGACATGCACCGTTTGGTCACCAACTGAATCCCCTTGATCCCTGACCCAGGGAATTGATACCAGATACATCCAGATACCATCGTTCTGACTCACAGGTAGGACACCCAGGACAAACCATATTCTAGACTTGGTTGTGGTTTATCCCAAGCTGCGCCCTTGTGTCTAGTAGCAAAGACACTTTTTCACCACACAACCCCAAATTGCTGCTGCGCAGTCTGAGCGAATGGCTGCGTACCCGCGACAGCCAATCCCGCGGAAGTCTGGTTCGACCTCGGGCTGAAGGCACCAAAGGTCCCGTCTTTGCTGCCAACGAAAACCTAGCCTTGGCATCCGCTGGAACTATTCTCAATATTCATGCCCTGGATTGGAACACCTGCGCCTCTTGAAGTTGTCATGGAATGTTATGGAGGGGTTTGGGAAAAACATGCTTGTTGGGCTTTAAGCAATCCCTTGCAAATGTTGGTAGGCTTCTCACTGTCGCTTGTTGCCAAGATGATTCACAAAATGTATCTAAATGTCATCTGCCATCCCTAATGCATCCGCGTCCAACATGACATTGATACCCTTGGAAGCCTTTGGGTTTGTGGACATCTGCTGGTGCGTCGCTGACGAGTAGGCCCAGCACTTGCCTCAGGGGACTAGAGCCGCATCAACGCAACATTTCTGACATGTCCATGAAGTGGAAAGCACCTTTGAAAGCAATGAGAAGCACCTTGATCCAATTTGATCCCAGCACTGCGCAGGTCCCAATTTCTAGCAAAGTCTGAGGCTTCAGACTGTACATAACCGCCAAGAGCCTGTGCCAAACTGCTGCATTAGTGGTCCATTTGTTTCATTCAAGCTGAGTCACGCAAACACCGACAAAGAGTGACACACTTCCAGTCCTGCAAGCCGTTCTCCATGGTGCGTCCTGACGGAGTTCTCATCTTTGCAAACATCTGCAAACAGTGATGCTTCTGTGCTGAAAACCCACACGGCTCTCCCTGATGAAGTCCTCTCCAACATCAAGCAAGTATTTTGCTCGAATCAGCTACGGAAAGGACACACTTGGCCAAGAGTCAAAGGTGGAATTAGCTTCTTGTGCTGGGACAGACTGGGGTTGCAAGAGCTCTCATTCATCTGTCTATCCAAATGGGTCCACATGCTTTAGGTTCCAGGTGAGACTGACAATGAGATCAAACTGCACTACTCTGCACTTGGAATTGAAGCACAGGAATTGCAACTCTGGATTTTCTGGATTTCTTTGAGAATTTTAGCCTGAAGTGGAGGATGAGATCCGGTGCCGTTACAGGATAATAGTTATACGCGATGCGTACACCTTACACATATCAATCCTTACTGTCATATATCATCACGTACACCTTACATATATCATCATATATCCAAGCTGTTGTCAATGTTAGGCCAGGATGAATGAAGAAATGTTCGGCAAGTGTGTGAAACTTCCTGCATTGAGCACAAAGAATGGCGGTGGGGTGAGTAGTGTCCTGTTGTCTGGGATTTGTATAGATGGATCTAGCATATTGTAACAGCAGAACCATCAATCCAATCGAAGGTTTTCCTGGGGCTGGCAGGGGCTGGCAAGGGCTGGCAGCCTTGAGCTGCCCCATTAGCGAAGCCAAAAAGGAAAGCAAAAGAAAACCCATGGAACGCCGAATGCAATGCTTCGCTGCTGCGCTCTTTTTCGCAGAGCCTCAATTCACAAGACCTCAGGGAGAGATCCAGGGGCATTTTCCACATTGGATCACATTGGCAACTTTTGGCGACCGATGGCCCATTGCAGGATGAATTGGATGCTGGAGTGGCAGTGCTGATTATCGGTGCCTGCTTCTTGCCGAGGTCTCCATATGACTTTCTGCAAAACACTGCCCAAATTTCCCAACTATATAAACTCTGATTGTTTAGGGTGATGTCAAGTCACAGAGCAGGATTGAGCCCTTCGTTTTCCAGCATATATTGGGTGCAAATTATCCAAGGGCAGCTAGACTGCACTAGACTTCAATGCGGTTTCAAGCCTTCAGCTTTCGAGTCTGCATGAGTCTGCCACGTTTTCGTGTCAAAACCCGATTGGCATATCAAATACCGGTCACATCTACAGCCACACTTTTAGTACTTCTCTGGCGGTGCTCAGTATTGACAATCCCACCTGCTCACATCCATCCACTAATTAGCCAATGCATCTAATATCGAGCTGCGCCGTTGCACTGAATTAGCGTTGGAGTTGATGCGTGGTCACGATATGAATATTATCTGGCCAGCATTTTACAGCTGACACATTCGCGCACATTGGTCCAGGAACATGGACAATGAGTCGAGTGCACATAGAACCTCGACGTAATCAGCACCTTTCTGTTAGTGTGGCAACGGTGCTGGCTGACCTCAAATTCAACTCTTGAAGATGGAATCTGAATCAAATCATATCAAAACTATAGCTGGTTTTCTTGGTCTTCTCACGTCTTCTCATATTCATTGCTGGATCTCAGTCTGCCAACGCATCAGGATAAGATAACCTTCGTCGACACTCTTTGTGCGTCGGAGGAGATGCCACCAGTTCAATGGGCTCATCACAGCTGTGGACTGCAGGTCCTTAGGTGGCTTTTTAACAGATCTGTGCAAACCCTTTGCATCCCCAATGAATCCCAAAACCATGCGCCGGTTGAATCGAAGTCAACAACATCCAACAACTTCCAAATTCAAGACCCCAAAAAACGCATTGCAATGTTGAACGTGGTTGAACAGGTACTGCAATAATGATGGGTTCCCACTCCCCATATTCATACGATTTCAATGGATTTCATAGGCATGTGGCTGATGCTGCAATCAGCTCAAATCAGCTCAAATCAGCTTAAATCAGCTTGAACATCTTGAAGGGCAAGGATCCAAAAACTCGACTTCTTCCGCCGGTGCAAGAGGCACTGATGGCACTGGCTCCATTGGTTTGACTTTTGGCAGTACTTTGATTACTTTGATTTGGCAGCACATGGCGTCCCAACGGTGTGGGCACCGGTGAAGGCCGTCGACTCGGGCCGCGCGGGGCTGAAGCTGGCGTCTGCGGTGTGTGGCATCGATCGAAGAAAATGATCTTCTCAGCCACGTAGCCACGCGGCGGCGCCTCAACTTACCCTACCCCGTCACTTTCATCACTTACATTGACTTGCATTTTGACTTACATACACATGCTGGTAAAATCATGTCAAATCAAAAGTTCTCAAGGCTCGGGGAACTGTTGGGATCTGAAGCTCTGGATCTGGACCCTAGCCTCCACATCATCCAAATGAGGGGTTGGTGGCCGACTGCCAGCACCACCACACCAGCGCGGGCGACCACGCGCCTTGCAGGTAAGAACTGACAGATCGCTCCCTACAAACATCCCAAAGCAGATGGTGGATTTCCATACTGCTGCTCAAACCTGTTTGCTACAAACATCACGATGTGTCTTCGAGGAGCTTTCTTAATCATTCTCTGACTGAGCTTGACATAATAATGGAATGCAGGCAAGTCATGCAAAAGAAACATAAAGAAACCATATGAGGAAATCATGGTACATCATTCCCATGCCTGTTTGAATCATTCTGAAGTCTGATGGCCGAACCTGGGGCTGGGAGCCTTCGCTGCTGCTCAGTGCATAGAGGCCTGACATCCCACCAAAGCGGCCAGTGTTTTGTCACTGGTTCCGAGTTTCACTTCTCCCGCTGCCATCCTCACCACTCATTGCATCAAAGTGACTGCTGCCAGTGCCAGTGCCGTGCGGAGAAGGTGCCGCACGTCCGCGCTCGAGGCTGGCGACCCTTCCTGGCAGCGCTGGAGCGGCGGAGGGTGGGCGACCCCCTGGGCGGACCGGCGAGCGCTCGAGGCTGGCCACAGCAGGGCTAAGGTTGCTCCTGAGGCGGGAATTAACAATCCATCAGTTCCATCTCTCTTTTGGATTTGTTTCGCTTTTTGGTGCTGCAATGATCAGTTCGCTGTTTTGACTTTCCTGCAACATGCTGCTCGATTCTTTCTTGAAGCCTTGTCTAACATAATTTGTTCTGCCATTTTTTCCGGAGAATTTCGGAGAAGCAAACGTCCTAACGTCGAATGATCATTTGCATCCGGACTGGTTGAGATGTTGAAATGAACAGCATGACGCATCAACATCTGCAGCCAATCTGCTCAGTGGGGCTGGGCTCCACCACCACCTCCGAGGATGGTGCCAAGGAAGAAATCAAGGAGCCCCGAGCATCCAGCTTGGGGCTGCCAGCTGCTCCCTGAGTTGTGCTGGTCGTGGTCTCTGGCGCAGGGGTATGCTTCTGAAGGACCAGACCCCTTCGCAATCTTTCAATGATTTTCAATTCACTTCAAAATGAAGCAAACAAATATATGGTCACTTTGGGGAGATATGCCCCATTTTTTTGTTTCATGTTGCCAGGCGCCTAGCTCGGACAAGCACCAAAATCACCAAATGTTTGGGGCCATGGTTTGCCATTAGTTTGCTCACAGCTCTATGCAGTATGACAATGCCAGCATCTTGCGTTTGTAGTTGTTCAGCTTGGAAGCTGAAAGCGGAGAGCATGCCAAAACGCCAGCATTACCTCATTGTCTCTGCAAGAACAAGGAGCAAGGGAAGCCACTGGGAGCCAGGATCAACAACCACCACCACAGACCATGAACACTACAAACAAACTTAAAGAAACCAAAAAAGGACAAATATTGAACATGTTGAAGTATCAAGACCTGAAGCCAAGGAAAAGGTGCATGCCTTTGCAGCTGCATTATTGCTTGGCTCCCCGCTGGCCTCCACGGGATGGGGTAAAGCCAAACTCAGGCAAACTGCGAATGTGATGCATACAGGTGTGTGTGTATATATATATATATCATATATCCTATATAAATATCTGTAAATCACATCAATACAAGCATACTCTATCTCCCTCTCTCTCTCTCTCTCTCTCTCCCTCCTCGCCATCAGGCTAACGGCGAGCCAATGCCCAGTGACAAGAAGTTGCATATCAGCCCTGCTTCATGTCGCTGCTCCATGCCACAGGAAATAAGGAAGTTATATACTATTCACATAGATACTTGATGCAATTTGCATGAAGTGCCACCTTCAATCTAGCAATCCTGGAAATTCCTGGAAAGGACCATTCTCGTTGAGTGATATTGACTGGAAGCAACTGATCAAAGCGTATTTACATGGAATGTGAGCTCACTGGGGAAACAGGCCTGATCCCTGCAATACTGTAAGCCTCCTCCACCCAATGGCACCTCACCCTCGAAAACAAAGGTGCTGTTCGCCTAAAGCATATTTTCCCCAAGCTCACGTTGCTGGCTCTGCCAGCAAAAGCAGGAATGAGAAGTCAAGTAGTGTGAGCACCGAAACTTGAAAGAGAGATTCCTTTGTCTATCTTTGAACCTTGCGAGTGCACACACACACATAAATCACACAAACACACACACAAACATGGATGAACACGGCGCACATCAATGACTTGTTGGTAGCTGTCATAGCTGCAGCTTCAGCAGAGGGGCAGAGGAAACAGCGGAGTCAGCAGTCAACAGCGAAGATGAAAAGAGTCGCCGACTCACCGCAGAGGTAGGTTCCTGCAAGGCTTGCAGTGCGTTCCATTGACACATCTGGCAGAAGTACTGGAACGGCTTCGGCTGCGATCGCATCCTAATTGTACTTAAGTCATTCTTAAGTTAAGTCAGTACATATTTAAGCCATACTTAAGCCTTCTGAACACTTTCAAGGACCACTACCATGGAATCGATCCACCAAGCGCCTCGCGCGGGAGTATGTTTGCCTCCTGTGCTGCTGCATGGATCAACTCCCTCATTTGGTGCTGATGTTGTGCCTCTCATTGGTCGGAACCGACAAAGTGAAATCACACTTGGATCAAAACAGGTTGATTTCACCTTGGGGTAATATATATAGCCAGAAAAGAAGGAGTAATCGGTACTCCTAAAGAAAAAGATGATCTTCCTATAAAACTTAAAAGTGAAGTAGTATTGAGAGTACAGCCTATATATATAATATTATATTGTATTATATTATATTAAATTATATTACATTTTATCATGTTACATTACGTTATATTATAATATATTATATCAAATTAAATCATATAATATCATATCATATTATATAATATTATATTATTATATGAATATGTGTTTTTTGAATGCCTGAAGATCTGAGAAAGCAAAATGCTGCAAAACACATCGCGAGCTTGTCTTATTCAAGGTGAAAGTTCTAAGCATCCGACTCGCTCTGCTACACGTGAAAAGTCAAAACAAAACAATGCCCTGTTCCGAACCGTTTTCCGTGAAGTTCGAAAAATGTCAACATCAAATGGAACATTATTTTATGATAAAATATTGAAAAACATATTTGCCGCATGTTGCTGCTCTGCATGTTGCTGCTCTGCATGTGCTCCGTGCTCTCTCATCTCTGTGGCATTCTGTCTGTGCGCCTCGTACGCTTCCTGCAGCCGTTCTCTGAGCTCCGCGATTTGTCTCTCCTGCCCCTTGATGCGTTCATCAGAGCGACGGACAGTTTCTTGAAGCTCCTCCTCACCTGGCGTTTGGGCCGCCATCAGCATCCAGCCAGGGGGTGAAATTTGTGAAATGGGGTGAACATGTGAAGAACAAATTTCGAACATCTTTGGACATTTGAAGAAATGGAATGATCACAGAGGAAAGGGAACTTTAGCACTGTACGGCCATTGCAAAAGGACACAAGGAAACTAAGTAGACTTGTTCAGATTTGTGGTGGTTAACGTGCTGGGTGGCTTATCCATTGGTTGTGCAATTCAGGCATGACATGTCTTGTCAGACCAAGCCACGCTGGTTCAAGCGCTGCTCCAGCTGCTCTTGAATTCGTTGTTGCTCCTGCAACACGGCCCAGACCGGGAAAAAAATGAAAAAGCATGGTCTAATGCGAATCAGTCACCGTCCTGAGCCTTACGGCGTTCCTCTGCCAGCTGCGTCTTCAAGGCAGCTTCGGCGCTTTGCTCAGCACGGCTCTCGCGGAGCAGCGCTTCACTGTCCTTTGAGCGAGAAATGAACGCTAGCCATCCCACGTCATTCCACGCCGCATACATGCCACATACGCAGTATAATCCATCCCATGGTGTCATATGATGTCGGTATCTGCGACGTTGTAGGACATAGGTTCTGCAATTCACTACTCGTATGTAAGAAACCACCCCCGTGATTTCCCTGATCATACCCCTACAATTTCAGCTCAGCAATTTGTACAAAGTCCATTCATCGCTGACCCCTCTTTCACAATCTTTCACATCTGAGGCAATCTGTGTCGATTGGGGGCTCTCTTCTCAGCTCCTGCAGCTCGACTTTCAGAGCCTGCAGCTCTTCGCGCATCTGGGTGGAGTGAGCCTCAAAGGCGGCCAGCCGCTCCGTCGCCGCCAACCGCTCCTGGTAAACGTGGCTCGATGGAAAGATCATGAAAAATCCAATGCCGCATATGCCGGGTTGCCAACAGGATTCCACAGCTTGCTGCAAGAAACCGAAAAGAAATTTCGAAGGAACGCAGGACTCAATCGACTCAGTTCACTCAATGAGCTGCCATGAGCTGCCTACCTTGGACCTGACTATCTGCACACTATTCATCACTATTCCAAATCAATCTGCATCTGCCGATTTATTTTACTAAGACTGATTCCTTTCCCTGTCTGCCCTGGCCACGATCCAGGCAGAAATTCAAACGTTGCCACAATTGGGAAGGCTCTTCCAACAAAAAATGAACCATCAGATCCTCCACTCCTCAAACAATGGGACCAACAGGGGGCAGCAGGTGACGGACAGCGTCCTCCTGCAGCTGCTTCTGGGCTTCAGCACTCTGACGCCTTGCAGCAGCACTGATGGCACCCAGTAGCTCCAGGAGCTCGCCTCGGATCCGTGTCAGCCGACTGTTGAAACCTGGGGAAGGATGTAAAAAATGTAAAATCGTGAGAAATGTTGCGAAATGATGAATGGATTGAAATGGATTGAATATATTGACTTGGATTGATGTAGAATAAATACAACAAATGCCTGCGTAAGCTTTCTTTGCAGACTCGCCATCATGCCATCATACGTATGGAGATATGTGAAGGAAGGATGCTGGGCTGCCACAAAGTTAGGCTACCAACATTTACCACGTGCTGTGTATCTGGCATCTATTTGCAGGTTGGGAGCTGCAAGCACCCTCATCTGACTTGCGTGAGGCACTCCCAGGTGTTAGTGCCAACAGGCCCGACCTCAACAAGCTGATGGCACAAGTCTTTTTCGGATTTTTTCTTTGAAAGTGATAGGTACTCAGCCGTGCCTTTGTCTGTCAACTGTGAAAGTGGGAAGGAAAGCCAGCAGGACAAGAACCTATCGTTTTTCATTTTCTTGGAAGGAACCCTGGTTTTTGTCTCACGGAAGCTTGATAATCCAGCTTGACATGAACATACATGAACCTGTCAGCTTCACGGGGCGCTCACAGTAGCCTCAAAATCATGCAATGCATCACATCCAAATTTGAAACTATATGAAATTATAATATTAATTAGATAGATTATATATATGAGCCGCCGTCAAAATCAATTGTTTATGCCTGGTACAAAAATATAAGTTATCGCTCTTTGGGGGGGGCCCTATTGCTTTCCAGTGTTTTGTTCAAATCAACACGAAATACTGCAAAAATGCAAGGGAATTAGCTTCACGGATTCAGATCTAAACTGCCGGGGATGGATTAAGGGCCTTTCGTTGTCTTTGCGTTTGCAACCAAGTTGGGGAGCTATCTAAGCACATTCCTAGACTCTTTCCTAAGCAAGGAAATCTGTTACGATCTCATCTCCGAACTAGAAAGACCGTATTTGATATAGACCAATGGTTCCAAAAAAGAAGCGTTCGTAGCTATGAAGAAGTGCATTAGGCTCCCCAAGTCTGAATACAACGTTGTGGCCTGGTGTCGAGAACCTGTTCACTTTTTTGTTGAGCCCTTCTTCTTCTTGGGATCAAATGAGTCTATCCCTCCTCCGGGGTCCCTTTTTCAACAAAAGGTTATCGCTAGGTTATCGCTAAGGTTATCGCTAAATTGGAACACTTTGACGATCAAGAAAGGGAAGGAAAGAGGAACGTAGAACAAAAAGGACAACTGAAAAAACAGAAGGAGAAAGGAAGGAACAAGAAAAGGAAACAAAGGAAGAAGAAACGACAAATCAAACATGGAATAGATGGAATTCAGAACAAGATTCGAAATCAGAGTTGATTTGGTTCAGAATTCAATTGTGTTTAGTTTTAACTGAAAAAAGAAGGAACAAGAAAAAAAGAAAAAGAGAAGGACACAAAGGAAGACGCAATTCGAATTAAATCTAAACACACAAAGGGCATTCAGAATTAGATTTCAATCTATTGTTTGCTTAATTCAGAATTTGGTTGCGTTCAATTTGGTTTAATTCTACTGCTTTGGGACCTGGGAAGGAAAAAGCAATCTGCCTGCAGAAAGCAATGGCTCAATCACCTTGGACAGCAAATGAAATGGCAACTGCAAGAAACGCGGGCACTGCAGGTTGATTTTTCATCAATTTTGCCCACAGATGGTTACAGGTTATCGCTTTTTGGGAGGGGCCCTATCGCTTTACATGGTTTGGTGCATTTTCTCAACACGATTGGACCCTCCCATACTAAACTAATCTACGCTTATTTTGACCGTATCTCATATATATTATAACGTTGGCACTGGCCGACAGCCCGTAACCTTCCCACATTTCCACAGCTTGTACCTACACTCCCAGAACCTTTCCGTCACCTTTACTGCCCTCTCTGCAGAACCTCTCCGTAATATGTAATATTATGTAATATTGCCCTACGGGTATCTTTCCACAACCTAGCCTCTCTTTGCAAATTTTCCGTAACCTCCAGAGAACCTTAAATTGAAATCTTCGTCGAACCTTTCCTTCGCCTTTCCCTTCTTGTCTGTGAAGCTCTTCCTGTCCTACCTGTCCGCAATCTCTTCAGAAACGTTGCCATTATACTGAGGAGCAATTGTTCCGCGTGATCAGCCAAGCGCTCTGTATGCTTCTTGGTGGCCACCCGCTGCGCCATATATTCCTCAGCACAAAGAAAATGCATCAAACTGCGGTGCGGCTTTGCGAAACAGGCGAAACACTTGAGCAGGTTGCCAGAGATTCTGTTTGACAAAGACCAGTATACAGTATCGAACAAACGAAAACCAAAAACATACGCGCATAGGTAATTGGTTTTCATACATCATATATTATGTACGGTATGTGTCATATATGTTATATGTATATATACGCATACAGGTGCATTGAAATGAAATGATTGCTTTGAAATGCAGCCTTCAGCAACAATGCAATACTACCCATTGCCGCGCTGAAACACAACTTCTCTCAGATATGGCAAAACATTGAAGCATGCCAAGAATTGCCAAGAATTGCCAAGACGCTTGAAGCTCATGCCTGTTAGGCTCACTGGTGAACCTCATGGGTGTTCCTTCACCCAGGTGAGGCAAAGGGTGAAGCTCTCCGCCTGGCAGCGTCTCAGTACTGCTGCGTGAGCCGCTTTGAAGGCCCACCGCACCTAGAGAAACGCGGCATCGCACATGCAGCATCTCTAGTGACTCTAGTGAGTAATGATCAGAAACTTTCGAGTCGCGGCTGCTGATTCTAAGACTCTCACCTGGATCTCTGCTAGTCTCTGCACCAGAGTCCGCTGATCGCCAGCGTATTTGACAGCAGCCGTCCTTCCAAACAGTCCAGCAGCACAAAAGCACTTGGTTTTTTTGTCTTTTTCACAGGCTCGCAGCCCCAAAAAACAGCCTACATTCTGCAAACAAGGGCTGCAGTGATAAATCCTACCCACCAGCAAAAATCACATGCCGAAGTGACCGTCCCAAGCTGCAGGGCAACAGCAGAGACGTCAAAACATGTCAAAACTTCCAAGCCAAGACCTGTCAAGCCTTTCAAACCTACTCTTGCCATGGTGCAATGGTCGCTGTGGCAACAACATGCCACAACTGACTTATTTTTGCAACTCTCTTGTAGCCCGTGCACAGCTTCCTGGCGGATTACCCTGTGCACTGTCGGCTGAAAGCTGGGCATCTGCATCCGCACGTGCATGGCATGCGGCACTGGGGGGGTCCGAAAGCCGCTTGGAACGCTAACTGGGCGGCCCGACATCTAAAAAACAAAGGGGCTCACGAAGTTTTGGGTGTGACTTGAGCCAAGCTGCTTCAACACGGTGTTTGTGTTTTTGAGCGTGGGGGGGATGCAGGTGTTGATCATCTCCACTGTGAGGGTCTGCTTTTCACCGTGGTGCCACCGAGGGCCACACTTGACAGGGGTCCACATGCTCTTGAAGGATTCATTTTTTGTCTGCCAGATGAGCTGTGTGCAAGCGGCAGTTGACTTTGTCTTCCGCAGGCCTGATTGGACTTTGACCTTAGGCCAATCCTGAAACTACATCGCAGGAGCGACCAACAGGCCAGGGCCCTGCATCGTGGAAGCACAATGATCGTTGCAAATTCTCTGAGTCTCGTTGCAAAGCAGTTGGTCTCGGCGGCGCCGCCTCGCCACTACCTGCATCCATCTGCATCCTATCTACATCCTATCTGCATCCTATCGGGTCCTATCGCAATGGCTTAGTCAATGTGACTGTTGCGAGGTCTTCTTTCCGTCAGAGAAGGCAGCTCCATGAATTCCTGAGAAATGGCGTGCTGACGTGTACTGAGCCCAAGGTCTCCCAACTTCCAGAGTATACCCTGGAGAGTAAACGAAGAAACAACCCACTTAATTGAGACTATCTTTCCTGTGTGCGTACAGGCACATGCAAGCGTTGCTGGCCTGTGCATGTTAAGTTTAAAGCGGGCAAAAGAAATGCAGCTGCACAAGCCACACTGTGTGCAACCAGTGGGCTACCAGTCACACGCACTTAAACGCTTTGGTTCAGGCAATGATACAGTATGCACAATTATGATCCATTATGCATCATCACGCACCCATTCGCAAAATGTTGGGGGCTACTTGCTTCAATGCGATGGAACATTTTCAAGAACATATAGGAATACCTTCCAGATCATTCCGCCACATTCATTCCAAATGGTAATCCATACCCTTGGCTGCCAAGAATCAGGTCGTAATAAGACCTTGGCAACAGACTTTGCTGGCTCTGCAATCACGAGGGGCTGAATAGAAGGGCGTTGTGGTCAGTGGGTTTGCAAGACAGCTGCCCAACTAGGTGATATTGTCAAGTCGAGGCATGTTGAGGTCACGCGAAGAAAATCGCTACCCATTTAATTAGGCAGCTCCAGGGAGTTGGAAAACTTCTCTTGCAACATGCTTTCAGCACCCCGAAGAACAGAAACCAAACAGGACCAGGCTGAAAATGCTGAAACACTCCTTCATTGCCCAAACCCGAACTTCACCTTCCTCTTCAAGGACACGCACCGTCGGACATCCAAGGCCCAAACGCTACCAATCAGGCGTTTCTTGTAGCCTCAGCTGTTGGTTCGCCATTCAAAGGACAATCACCACTCATGAACAGTTGGGTTGAATTTTCATGGATTTTCATGGGTCTGGTTTCTCTACCAATTTTCCCGTTCCCTGTGTTGCACGTGTATGTGACCACGAAGCAGCAACTCAAGTCACGGCTCGACATCTACAATTATGGGATTGATGGGTGTGAATCCAGAACAACGAGCAACGAACTTGTGCCATCATGTGTCATCAAGTTGGAAATGCTGAATCATACACTGCTTTCTGACCAATCTCGCTTGGCAGGGTGCTGTAGGCACCGAAAAAGGTGAAAGCATATAGCGCGGCGCCTCAGCACAACGCCACACTTCAGATATCGCTAACAACCAGATTGTTTTCCATATTTCCCCACCTGCCAGGTGAGGGTTGTTAGATTTTATGTCAGTTGCCTGCTCCTCCTCTCCTCTCCTCTCCTCTCCTCGTCTCCTCTCCTCCTCTCCTCTCCTCCTCCTCCTGCTCAACCGCGACCCTCGACGCACAGTGGTCTCTGTCGGACCTCAACCACGACCATCCACGCCCAGTGTTCCCTGCCGGACCTCAACCACGACCATCCACGCCCAGGGTTCCCTGCCGGACCTCAACCACGACCATCCCCGCCCAGTGTTCCCTGCCGGACCTCAACCACGACCATCCACGCCCAGTGTTCCCTGCCGGACCTCAACCGCGAGTATCCACGCCAAGTGTTCCCTGCCGAACCTCAAATACCGCGAGTATCCACGCCAAAGATTGCCACATAGAGTGCCAGACGATATGCCATATAGAATTTTAGAAGATATGCAGCTAGAATGCCAGAAGATATGCCAGATAAAGTGACAGAATGTTTGCCAGATAGACTGCCAGCAGATTTGCCAGATAATATGCCAGAAGATATGCTAGATAGAATGCCAGATGGAATGCCAGAAGATTTGCCAGATAATATGCCAGAAGATATGCCAGATAGAATGCCAGATGGAATGCCAGAAGATATGCCAGAACATATGACAGAACATATGCCAGAAGATATGCCAGAAGATATGCCAGAACATCTGCCAGAAGATATGCCAGAACATCTGCTAGAAGATATGCCAGGTAGAATGCCAGAAGATATGCCAGATAAAATGCCAGATCGAATGCCAGAAAATATGTCAGATAGAATGCCAGAAGATTTGCCAGTAACAAAATGTATAAATGTCATGGTGGGGATCACACGAAGTAAAGTAATTTTTCTCTGGCCCAGGCTGGGCTGAAGCTTGCAAGAAAACCTGGTAGATCCTGAAAGATTCAGAAACATCAAATAACTTTTAGTTGCAGTAATAGCTTGGCACACCTTAGCAGCCTTAGTCTGGCCAGAGACGGTGTAGTTACTGAAGAAGTCCTCTGTCCGGTTCTTCATGTTGTTCGATTCTGAAACTGTAAGGGGTGTCTTGTTCAGAGGTGATGCTTTCCACAAATGTAAAGATTGTGAAAGAGCTCCCCAAGGGAAGTTTTTTCATAGGACTCTGGCTCCCAAAGCATCCATAAGCAGCTTCACCTGGCTGGATTGGCGAGACAATGACAAGACAATGACAAGACAATGACAAGACAACAGCCACATAGATCCACACAGTGTGACACAGTGGTCTAGTCGGGTCTAGTCTTAAGGCATCTCATCGACGTCCTCTTACCTGGTCCTCAACCTTGTATTGACTTGTGCTGAAGTCTTACCTTGGGATCCTACCAAACTTTAGCTGGGCTTATCCCATCCGAAACAAAACACATATAAGCAACTGCAACTGCAACTCCAACTGCTTTGTCAGCAAAATTTGCAAACCAGGCAGCACCACGTTTCACTTTTGTTTCGAGCTCAATCATTGGAGAGCCCTGCAGATCAGTGCGGAAAATACTCTGCTCGAGATGAAGTTCGCAGTGACACACTGTCCGTCTGTTGCACAAAAGGCAACGGATCTGGTCAAGATTTCCCCTGCTGGTTAAGTTTGGACAGCGCACCCCCCGACATCCGAACATTGCGCTTACCAGTATCATATGTCAAAATATGTCAAAATGGGTCAACAAGACCGTTAGACGCGGTGACAGTCCCTGAGTTGCGGGTTGAGGGGACTGTGCATCCAATGTGCAGTTATCATCCGTTATCAAGAACCAAAGGCCTGATAGCAAAGGAAACCAAAGAAGAGGAGCAAGGGCACAGCCCAAGCTGAGAGTATCTGGCGCAAGGAGGGGCGGGGGAAGCTGCACTTTACCTCCTGTGAAAAGAAGTATGCGGGCTGTCCCAGTGCACGGCCCCATTGCATCAAACATTTTGGAAGAACATAATGCATTGATTGGCACAGCGCCCCGAATTCTTTGTGCTGTTTCATACATCCTGGGTGGAAACATACCTGGACACCAGCTGTGGAACATGCTACGGTACAGTGATGCATGTGGTAGTTGTACATACCAGATTGAGGACAAAATGATCAACTAATTATATCGAAACATATCATAGTAACATATCGAAACAATATGAAACAATGGATCTGTGATGATCTGTGAATTGTGTACCTGTCCATCCGTGTCTTCAGGCCCCACAGGTTAGAATAGAAATCGGGCTGCTGGCGCACCATGCAAAAGGTCGCGGCTTGCTGCTTCTCCATGCCTACTAAAGCGGAACGCAAGGCATCCCACAGCAAGCCAAGAAATTCAAAACCATGTGATTCAAGCGCAGCACCAGCGTTGTAACGCAAGATTATATAGTTATATATAGTCTGATCTCACCAACACACCAACTGATCGTAATTTGATGTCTTTTGAGGTGATAGCCTGGAGACAGGATCCAGAACTCAACCAATAAGATGAAAAACAAAAGCGTTCCACATCCTTCTGCTTTCCATCATTTTACACCATGCTTTTCAGACCAATCTGGATCCCAACATGCAACAACTTTCTGCGCGGAAGCCTGCGGATGACACCTAGTGGCTAGGTCCGCGCTGTTCTTCCCCCTTGACTCAACCTTGAACCATAGCAGCCATAGAAGTTGTTGGCATCTAGGGGTTTTGCACCATAAACTTCAAATGTGAGCTCTAGGAAGGCACATACATCACATAGCATTTCCCATCTGGGTTCAAAGCTTTTGCACGCTATTTTTGCGTTCAGTAGGTTTGATCCAGTTGGCTACAGATTCTGGGTGACCTATCTTGGATGGGCAACGTGTGTAAGAGTGCAATCAACCTTTTCATCAGCACGGCCACATCCTTCAAAAGATGATTGACTGTTTGTGTGACTAGAGAGCTGAAGTGTCGGAACTTGCTACTGTTTTTTTCCCTTCTTAGAGTCATGGCCATGTATTGAAAGTTTATGAACCGGTTAGGTTCACTCGTTATACGGTGGCATGAGCCTTGGCCTCGGTAAGTTTTCTGCTCCAAGTTCCCCTGCCACTTTAGAAACCACTTTAGAAACCACATATGCGGATTGGATGAAGAATCTTTATGACTTTGCTTTATTCATCTTGTCACGTCTTGTCACCAATTGGCATTGGATGGCACTGGCATATCATATATCACCAAAACTCTGTGCACACGATTTTGTTCCATCCATCCATACCAAGCGCAGGTCGCACACGGCTACATATCCCCTTGGGTTGCTCAACTGGTCTGATTTCACCAGCCAGTCAAAGGCGAAACAACTCTAAGGAGACCAAAAACAAAGATGCCTACCAAG